CTCAACACACACCACCGCGCAACGCTACAAGCACGCAGGCACGCACCACACAGACGCGGCGGCATTTCTTGCACACTTCACTCCAATCAGTACTGTAACAGGAACCTGGACTCCATTCAGCACAGATACAGGAACCTGGATGAGGCACAAGACATAAGAACTGAGGTTTTGGAAACACAATTTGGGTGCCGGGATAATAGGACAACTACGGTCTTCCCCAGACCATTACGCACCCTAAAAATGAATGTATACAAGCTATATTTCCGCCCAGATGCAGCCAAAATAAGGGCGCGTTGTGTTGGGGGAAGACGGTAGTGAGGGGACAATTGGCGTACTGTTGGACAGAAGGGGAAATGGTTCTCATCGGGGGAAGACGGAAGTGAGGGGACACTTGGCGTACTGTTTTTTTTTTTTTTTTTTTTTTTTTTTTTTTTTTTTTTTTTGAGAAGAAGTCCTCTTTATTTCCGAAAAAGAATTTTGAGGCCGGAGACCTCACAATTCAACCCGGAGTAGTCACAGAACCAGAACTGGAAACCGGGTCCAGCGTCCCATGCCTGCTCTCTATCTTTGTAACTATCTTCCCAAAAAAGCCTTGAAGCTCTTAAAAAAGGGGCTGTAGTACGAAAAAGTCCAGTGATCCACCATACATACAGCCTATATCCATCTCTTATAAAAGATCATACGTTGAGGCAAAATCTCGAAGGTCTGTACTAAATTCATCATTCCACACAAACTGTCCACAGCCAGTTTTCTTGGTCTATCAAGCGACCAGTCCTGTTTGATACATCTCGGTCTAATCACGACCTATCAAGTCACTCCTCTGCTATTAAGCAGCCACTTGGAGAGCACCAACCATCCCTCAGACGAAATAGAGGCCCATATATTTTCGTTAGCCCATGTGTGGCAGAATCTTGTTCTTCTGTTCTTCGTGGCCTGCCAATCGGAATGGATGGCCAATCGAATCTGTTCCTTCACTAGACCTGTCTGCTGTTGCAGAGGCATCTTCTTGTCCTTGAAAACCTTTTCCACAAAACACTCATTATTGCGCCCCTACAGAGAAAGGCCACATACCCCTATCCAGTGGTAAAGTTAGTTTTTTTGTGGAGGGATGGCGTGTAAAATCCATTCGTCAGACCATTCCCAGTGAGCACCTACTGTATTATGCCAACGGTGCCTCCACCAAAGCCAGAGCTCCCCTGACAGGGGACAACGTAACCAAAGGTGAGTGCTGGTTTCCCAGCCCCAATCACATCTCTGACAGTTAATATCAATTGCCATTCCCTTGCCCTCCAACCAAACGGCGGATGGGGTGGCCTGCATAGCATGTAACCACATTATGCCTGCATGTCTTTGAGACGGCAATTTTTTCAAGGCTCTCCAGATCGCATTGAAATCCGGCTGTTTATCTTGTAATCCCAATTGTTTTTTAAAACCTTTTCCGCGCCATCTCACTAGGTTTCTTTTTCGCCTTCTGCCTTTGGACTTATACCCCTGTCCTTGGTTTGTACCTGTACAGAGCAAAGCTCTTTGTGTTTGAGATCCCCTTCCATCCAAATAATAGAGGCTCAACCTTCTAGTCCTTAGCTTCCTTTTTCCCTATCTTCCAGACCTTAACCTTCACCCCCCCCCCTAACTCTGGTCCCGCCACCCTCAGAATCTGCTGGGGATTCGCGTCTGCGGGGTGGTAGAGCCATGTCCCGTCCCCATGTTCTGTGTATTCATTTCGGAGATTCTTCCAGGGGGAGGGGATGGCCTGTTTAATCAGCGAAAAATTACATTCGACTTTTCGCAGTCTTGGCAGCTTGACTCTCAGTTCTGCAGCGGAGAATCGCCGGAGATCCAATCCGCCAGGTCAGCATCCCAAAGGTCCTTAACCTGTATAACACCCTTCTCAACCCAGCTCTTGCCAAAGTCCCCAACTCCTTCGAAATCTGAAAAGACTCACCATTCGTTCGAAGAATAAAAGGATTCTCAAATAAAAATTGATTCAACACCTCTATTCAAGTCTCTGGTTGTCTGAGCAGGGCTGGCCGTATCTGTTTCCAAGCAGCAAGGATAGCTGACCAAACTTTAGACTTGGGCTTTTTACTGGTGTAGGCACCTTACATGATCACTCTCCATACATCTGATTCAGAGGTCAGGGCCCATTCCTCACCAAGAATATACTCTGCAAACTTAACCCATAGCTTGTCTTCCCCTTCAAACAGTGCCATAATCACCCACTTACTTAGAAGTGCTATGTTGTGTTGATGTGGGTATAGTATCCCCAGCCCCCCTTCCTCTCTAGGCTGGGTTATTGCTTCCCACGCGACTTTTGACATGAAATTTTGCGTTTCCACTGCAATTGGCGTACTGTTGGACAGACGGGGAAATGGTTTTCAGCAGGGATAATGGGTAGAAAGAGTCCACGCCAAAACTCAACCGTTATGTCTTTGTTAAACCCAAAGACTGCAATTTTTTAAGTGTGCTTTATTCCACGGGTGATGATCTAACCCGGCCGGCGTATAAAAAAAAGAGAAAAAAAACTCAGCCCTTTGCTACTACCTGCCCAAAAGTCTTCAGCCTGGGTGATAGGAGCCTTCGTGCCTTGGCCACATCTCACTGGGCCTGTTTTTTCCGGCTCAAGAGTGTGGTGCTGTTTTTGCGCCAGATTCATGAACCGGCAGGGCCCTTCTTTTTCAAAATACGGTACGTGGGCCTCATTCTATACTTACAGCGGTGCCACCCTCGGCCTCTTTTACATTAAAATGAATCTGGCGCTGTTATGCGCCAGATTCATGATCCGGTAGTAACCCTTGGAGGGACGCGTGGGCCTGTAGTACCTCGCATCATCGGCGCATGGAAGTCATTGGGCCCGTAGTACCAAACGGCCGAGTTTCGGGCGGGCGCCTAAAACTGAAAAGGTTTTGGCATGGGCACTTTCTACCGATTATCCCTTTTCAGCAAGTTGCCAAATTCTACTGGCTCCCAGTCAGGGGGGAACACTGTCGCTTAATCCAACACCCCCCGCGAAGCGCTCACGCGCCTATGGGGAAAAAGGCATGAAGCGAAAAATACGCTCTATACCTGCGTTACCGAGCGTACCTGTACGGGGCGTTTCCGTATGGGTCATACGAGTTTTTTTCGTACGCGGACCTGTACGTGGACCTGTACGTTTTTTTTTTTTTGGGGGTGGGGGCCTCGCCGAGCAGCACAGGACGCCCCAGTTTGCCTGGGCAGGGGGCTTGTGGGAGGTCCAGCAAGCGTGCACACACACAGACTTAGTAGCAAGCGGGAAACTCAGCAAGGCATTCAGTCTATGGGCAAAACTCAGAAATCAGCTATGTGTTTCAGTCATACTTGCAGCGCATCATGTGCGCGCAGCTTCCCCACGTGCGCTTCAGCGCACATGCGCACACATGCGCGCGCACGTGATGAGGTGCATTTAGAAATTAATAATAAAACAAAAATCAGAAAGGTAGGTTGTCGTACCCATAAGTGTCCCTCCCTTTTAAAAAGGGTAAGTACACCAAGAGAATATTTCGGGGCCTCATCCCACTACTCATTGGTTAGATTCTCCTTTCCGAAAAGTACCCTGCAAGCAATTAGCAGGGTTTCCATAACATTCAAAAGGATGTGCATTGGACTGCTGGAAGACCATGAGTAGGCCAGCAATATATCCCGGACTTGGATTCAGTTCTGTGTTCTAAGAGTTATGCGTTACGAATTTACCACAAACACTCCAGTAGTTGTCTCTTTTTTTTTTTCCCCTTTTCTTAGGTGCAGTGGCCCTAAGCACTTGCAGAAAAGACAAACAGATGGCTTGTATGGTTCCAGTTTCTAGTAGAAGATTCATTCTAGTTTTGCTCATACAGTAGCTGTCTCGTTTTTTTTGTTTTTCCTTTCCTTTCTTGCGTGCAGTGGCCCTAAGGGCCTGGCTCCACTCATCAGCACTTGCATAAAAGAAAAACGTATGGCCTGTATGGATCCAGTTTCTAGGAGAAGATTCATTCTAGTTTTGCACATTTGGTGAGTAGTGGAGTGAAGCCCTGAACAATGCCGAGTTAGCAAGTCAGTAACCCATAACTGCTGAAACACGGATCCGAAATCGAAGCTACACCATATGTAGCTGGCCTACTCCCTCCTTACTATGAGTCCAGTGAAGACCTTTCCAATGACCACCCCCTTCCTGCCGAAGGGACCCTTGCCAATATTTGGCAGGGACCTTTTGAAGTACTGGCAGGGGTTATCTGAATAATGTGAAAGTAGGAGATGACAAAAAAAAAAAAAAAAAAAAATGGTGGCCCGTACATGCTCTAGACTCAGAYTGGTTGGACGGCGGGGTTTGCCCGTACATGCTCTAGACTCAGACTGGTTGGACTGGTACCCGCCTAGACCTAGCCTACAACCACTGGCCTCTAAAAATGCCACTTTTGTCTTCTTCTGCTCGGCCTCCAGTACCTGCACATCCACCCCTTCAAGGTGCGGTACCGGCCTACCCGCTACTTGAGTGTTTTTCCCGCTGCAATCCCTCAATGTCATGGCCACAGGTAAGTACCGGCCCTGAGGGCCCAATGAACGAGCAAGTGCCCTTACGGGCCACACACAATCAAGCCATCTAGCACTCAGACAGCCACGGCCACACACTCTCAAGCCAATCAGCACTCAGACAGGCACGGCCACACACACACTCAAGCCAACCAGCACTCAGCCAGACATGCAGTCCAGCAAGCGTGCACACACACAGACTTAGTAGCAAACGGGAAACTCAGCAAGGCATTCAGTCTATGGGCAAAACTCAGAAATCAGCTGTGTGTTCCAGTCCATGTTTGGACGGGTCATCACACTAAGGAGGCAGGCCCTCTACCTTGTATTGGCGATGGTCTGCATTTGGGCGACATCTTCAAGTACTTCGGGTTGCCGCTGATGTCAACAGTTGCATTGGCTATTMGTAGGCTGATCGTAGCTGTGTAGGACTAGGCCGGGCGCTGAGCGCCAAGTAGGAGTGTGAAGGGACTGGACTCTTGTGTTGTTGGCGGAGAGAGAAAGCTCTCCTTGACATTGGTTCTCAGTACTACAAACCTCCATTGGTGTATTATTGGTGCAATGCTGCTCTGTGGACACGGTGTGACTATCTGGCTTTCAATGTGATGGTGTAATCTGGAATTGTCATCTCGCTGTTGCTTATTTTCCTTGCACCAGGTTGGACCGTGAGGAAAACAGCAGCAGACACCCGAAGGCTGTTCAGGGGCATTTTTTGCCATAGCGCCCCCATAAACAAGCTTTTTCGAGCGGTTTTCAGGTTTTTGGATTTTACGGAGTCTACCGGAGATGCCGGAAAAAAAAAAAAAAAAAACCTCGTACGGACCCCTAGCGTACGAGTAGCGTACGAGTACGATCCGTACTCTCGTACTCGTACGGGGGCCCGTACAAGTCGCATCGTAGCTCTATACCAATCTATACTCAAAAACTCTTTCCAAAATGAAGAGGCATTACGTATCACAGTGAACATGATGTGTCCATGGCACATTACATATCATAGTGAACATGATGTGTCCCTGCCCATGGCACATTACATATCACAGTGAACATGATCTGTCCATCGCATGCATACTGCATCTAGTACCTACCGTCTTCCCCCGAACACAACGCGCCCTCATTTTGGCTGTATCTGGCCGGAAATATAACTTGAGTACATTCATTCTTAGGGTGCGTTATGTTGGGGGGAAGACGGTAGTAAGGCCTTTGGACTACTGCTTCCAATGTGCAGGATGGTAAATAGGTAATTATCTCTGCTCTGATGTTTCACAGCCTTTCAGACGAGCTGTGGATTGCATCACTACAATGTCATGGTGACTGTTCTGGGGAAGGAATTTTGAACGGTTATCCGTAGTCAAAAGATGGTAGCATTACCGTAGTAATATAACCGCCGGCCATACGCCCCTGTTCTGTTATTACCGTAGTAATATATATAAGTAATAATGTATTACTACGGTAATAACAGAACAGGGGCGTATGGGAGGTAAATTCTTCCTACCCTGGAGGCAACCAATGGTGTTGAATCTCTCAAGATCCGTCGCCCACAGCAGAGGGAAGGGTGGGTGAGTTTCACTGCTGGCAGGGACGCTGGAGCCGATTTCCAGAGAATCAATTTCACTGTTGCAAGGCACGCCGAACCGGATTTCCAGAGAATAATAAGGACTGTCGTCGTTCCTTACTTTGTGTTTAAAGAAGCATGTTTTACAACAACAGCATTAGGACTTGATGGCACCCGCTGTCTTTCAAATCACCGACATCTTCGCAGTTCTTGTTCCGATCACAGCAAGCATGGAGAGCATATACATAAGCAGGTGTGGTTAAGTATCAATGATGTCAGCTGCAGCACCATCTCTTTCTTTCTCTCTATCCCTCAGCAGCAGTGGCAGGAGAGCAGACGCAGTACCAGCAAGAGCAGTAGCAGCAGCAGCAGCAGCAGCAGCAGCAGTGGCACATCAACAACAGCGGCAGCAGCAGTAGCAGCTGCTGTTGAATACTGTTGCTGAGTCAGAGTCTACCTCTGCCACTGCTGTTGCTCCTGACAGCAGGTAGACTCTGACTCAGCAACAGTATTCAACAGCAGCTGTTGCTGAGTCAGAGTCTACCTGTTGCTGAGTCAGAGTCAACCTGTTGCTGAGTCAGAGTCTACCTCTGCCACTGCTGTGTGTGTTCCACAACAGCAGCTGACTCTGCTGACGGCTGTGTGCTCAGCCATGTTTTTTGGGACAGGAGCAGCAGCAGCAGCAGTGTGAGGAGCATCCACTGCAGCACACAGCCGTCACCAGGAGCTGCAGAAGCCCTAGCAATTGCTCCTATTGCTGCTACTGCTGTTATTTCTACCCTAACACCAGCCTCAGAGACCATCAGCAGACTCTGACGCCGAGTCAGAGTCTCCCACTGTAGAACATGAGCTTGTGGTGTTGCTGTTGCTGCCGCGGTTCCTCTGGTACTGTGTCAGAAGCTCCCGTTGCTTCTAGTACTGTTTCTGTTGCTACATTAACAGCGGCAACTGCAGCATCGGCAGCCGGACCTGCTGCAGCGCATCAACAACAGCTCCTGTTGCTTCTCCTGCTGCTACCTAAGAAGCAGCTTCACAGCACCACGGTAGGATGCATCAGGAGCAGTGGCGCAGCTCCGCTGCTGATGTTGATGTTGCTCTTGCTGTTGCTGTTATGGATGCCTCTGATGCAGTATCAGAGGCTACTGCTGCTACTGCTGCTACTGCTGCTACTGCTACTGCTGCTACTGCTGCTACTGCTACTGCTGCTACTGCTGCTACTGCTGCTACTGCTACTACTGCTGCTACTGCTCAAGAGCTGCTGCTGCTGCCAGTCATGAGGCGTCTGTAGCGGCTCGAGCAAACTAATCAGTGAAAAGCAGCGGTTGCCGCTAGTGCAACCTCAAAGCATCAGCAGCAGCGAGCAGTGTGGGCAACAACAGCAGTTCCTTTCATGCGCTATCCGCCACTGCTTTATAAAATCAGAAAAAAAAACAACAGTGATCCTAGCTAGTGCTGCTACTTCTCTTGCTGCTGCTGCTGCCAGTCATGAGGCATCTGCAGCGGCTGCAGCAAACTGAAAAGGAAAAGGTGCGTGTGCTGCTGGTGCAGCCTCGGAGCACCTGGACTGGGGGACCCGGTAGCATGATAATGAACCTAGGGCACATGATAATGATTCCGCTAACCCAAAGCACATGATAATGATCACTGAAGAAAATTTGCTATGAGATCTGGCACGCTGGGCCCGGTTCCCAGCACGTGCTGCTCCCCACGAATAGATTGGAGCCTTGTGTTAAAAAAAACAAAAATCGTCCCATCTCGCCCCGGGCCATACACTTACCCAGGGCCGGTTTTGGTCATAGTACAGTTAGACCCATGGCGCTTCCATTTGGGAGTCCCGCCGCTTGACCTCCCGGCCTCCTGGCTGCCCCTCCACGCATGGCGTGGTACCAGTTGAGCATTGCGTTAGTTCGGTATAGCTGCAATTTCGCGGTAGTACCAGTCTTGCCCACCATCAGTACTTGGCTCAGCCATGTTTTTTTGGGACACTGCCCCGCAAGCTTTGCAAGTTGGCCCACAAGATCGAAATGGCTGGCAGGACCAGCCAAAAGGAGGCAGGGGCTGATTCTTTTTTCTTTGGCGTGCAGGATGATCTGAGGCAGGGGAAAAACAGGGAGAAAAGTTATAAAACTACACTATGTTCTTCTCTCAAATTCTTTTTTGCCTTTCACTACCTTCCTACCACTACTCCTAAGAGTATATAGAGGGGACCCCTGCAAGCATAGGGCCTCACAAACGAGGTAATTCATGTTGCCCCTCGCCCCAACAGCGGTAGTCAGAGATGGGGTGGGGCCGCCGGTGGGGGTCCGGCTAACGCAAAGACCGAGCATTTTGCTAGTAGCTGCGCCTCCCTGGGAGAAAAGTTATAAATCCACCGCGACCAAAACCTTTGTATTACAAAAAAAAAAAACTTTGTATTCATTTCCCACCAAACCGTGCAAAAAGTGTCGCAAGCCCCAAAATGACTTTTCATCAAATTTTGTGTCATTTTTGCACTCTGTAAAACAGTTTCCCTCCATTTCTTCACACCCAGTTTTAAAGGCTCTTCCTTTATCCTCCCTTCTCTTTTCAGTTGATGACGTTGACTCTCTCGTTGACTTTGTGCCGTGACTGTGGTTCCGTACGGCTTTTCATCTGGCTTGGCGCTTTGTCTGAACACACCAGCCAGGGTGCAAAAATGACACCAAAAGGTCCAAAAGTCATGTTGGGGCTTGCTCCATTTTTGCACAGCAGGTTTTACCGGGCCAGCCAGGGTTTGCTTTTGTTTTGGGGGAAATAAATACAAAGTTTCTTCACCTGGGGGACTTATAACTTCTCACAAAAACAGCCCAGGTTGCACTGGTGGCCTGGAAGTACTGGTGGTTTCAATGGAGTACAAATGTACTTCCCCCTTAAACCCCTTTTTTTTCCCCCTTTTCTTTTCTCTCTTTTTATCCTCCCGCATGCTGGCAGGGGGAATCTATGAGACATTCGGCCCCGTTCCCAACATGTGGAGCTCCCCACAAACAGAAAGGAGCAACTGTTTTGGCACCTACAGCCTACAACTACCGTAGGTAGGCGTGCCTACCAGTAGGGCAGACCCGTATGCGGACCCGTCGGCGGTCGGCAGACTGCCTTAATTTTTTTTTTTTTTTTCTGATGACATGGTCGTGTA